CTATATAATAAAAGCCTAATATGCAAATTGTTCGACCAGGAGTTCAACCGCTCACTATGACGTGCGCTGACCACCAGGGGGCGGCACGGAACATGGCGGGTGTCAGTGACACTGCACTGGAAGCAGGCAACAGTGCAGGCACTGCCGGCCCCAATGGGCCCCAATGAGAGTGGGACTGTGGTAGGATGGTGGAGGTGAGCGGGTGGCGCCAGCCAAGGCAGGTGCGAGCAGGGGGCCTAATCACCCTGACCCTGCCAATGGCCCCACAGACGGTGACCAGCGGTTGGGGGGGGGGGGGAGTGACACTGCACTGGAAGCAGGCAACAGTGCAGGCACTGCCGGCCCCAATGGGCCCCAATGAGAGTGGGACTGTGGTAGGATGGTGGAGGTGAGCGGGTGGCGCCAGCCAAGGCAGGTGCGAGCAGGGGGCCTAATCACCCTGACCCTGCCAATGGCCCCACAGACGGTGACCAGCGGTTGGGGGGGGGGGGGCCCAGCTCCCAGGCGCTGAGGGAGCTGGGCTGGGGGGCCTGGCCCTGATCAATCGTCCTGCAGGCAGGATGGTGGAGCAGGTGAAGGGGCAGCACCAGGCAATGGTGGGGTGCCAGGCAGGGCTGCGAGGCTGGGGGTGTGAGCTGGGGCTCAATCCCTGCAGGCCACCCTGAGGACCCTCACCCCTGCACGAATTTGTGCACTGGGCCTCTAGTACTATTATAAGCTTCTTGTATTGTACATGAAGTTGCATAATATCACTTAAAGGTAGATTGTAACTTTAAAGACATATAAAGCCTAAAGTAATCACTAAAATATAAAAAGTTATAGACAGTAAACCAATGAAGGAGATTAAAAAGCAAAGCGTCCCTGATTTACCCAAAAGAAGGTAGAAAAAGAGGAAAAAGCAAACAACAGGTAGGACAACTAGGAAACAAATGGTAAGATTATAGCCTTAAACCTAACCAAATCAATATTCCCATTAAACATAAATGGTTTAAATATTCCAATTAAAAAGCAGAGATTGCCCGACCACGTGGCTCGGTGGTTGAGCGTCAACCTATGAACTAGGAGGTCAAGGTTCAATTTCTGGTCAGGGTTGTGGGCGTGCCAGAAGCAGCCAATCAATGATTCTCTCTCATCACATATATGCTTCTATCTCCCTATCCCTTCCTCTCTGAAATCAATGAAATCAATAAAGATATTTTTTTTAAAAGCAGAGATTGTAAAATTAGATAAAAAAGCAAAACCAAACTATACACTGCCTATAAAAATACACTTAAAAATAAAAATGCAAATAGGCTAAAAGTAAAAGGTTGGAAAAAGATATATTGTGCTAATATTGGTCAAAAGAAAGTGGGATTGACTATATTAACATCAAAGTAGATTTCAGAGCAAAGACTATTACCAGTGATAAATTGATCCAACGGGCAATATGTACCTAACAGAGTTCCAAAATACATACAGCAAAAACAAAACTGCAAGGAAAATTATACAAATCTATAATTATAGTTGAAGATTTCAATACCCCTCTTTTAATTGATACAACAAGCAGGCATAAAAATTAGTGAAGATATAATAGACTTGAACAATACTATCAACCAACTTAACCTGATTGATATTTATAGAATAGTCCACCCCCAAAGAGCAGAATACCTATACTTTTATGTGTACACTGTACATTTACCAAGATAGACCATATTTTGGGCCATAAAACAAGACTCAATAAATTCAAAAGGTTCAAGTCATACAAAGTCTCTGCCCAAAACAGAATTAATCCATAACAGAAAGATCCCGAAAAAAAAAAAAATCCCCCAATATTTGCAAACTAAATAACACATGAATCAAAAAAGAAATCAGATATTAGAAAGTATCTTGAATTGAGTGACAATGAAAAACAACATATCAGAATTTCTAGAATGTTGCTAAAGCAGTACTTAGGAAGCAATTTATAGCATTGAACATCTATATTAGAGAAAAAAAGAGGCCACAAATAAATTACCTCAGCTTCCACCTTAAGAAATTAGAACAGTGCAAATTAACTGAGTTGGAGGGGATGGGGTATAATAGGCAACTATTGTTTTCATTGCTCTACATTCCTTATCTTGGGAAGTCATTCTTCCCTCATCACCCATTCCAAGTGATTCTGGTGAGGTTGAAATTCACAATAGCCAATGCCCTTGGAGTATGCAGCCCATAATAATACTCTATTCCCTGGGTTTAGTGAGTGGTCCAATATGTGCAAGCAGTAATCCAAGCTGGGCCCACGAGACCTTTCCTGGGATTTATTTATATTAAATACTAGAGCCCTGGTGCACGAAATTCATGCATGGGGTGGTGGTGGTGGTCCCTCAGCCCGGCCTGCACCTGCTCGCAATCCAGGACCCCTCGGGGGATATCCGACTGCCAGTTTAGGCCCAATCCCTGTGGACATCCCTTCACAATCCGGGACCACTGGCTCCCAACCACTCGCCTGCCTGCCTTGCCTGATCGCCCCTAACCACCTTTGCCTTGGCTCCCGCAGCTTTGTCTGAAAGGTCGTTTGGCTGTCTGGTCTAATTAGAATATTATGCTTTTATTATTATAGATACTTAAATAGGGGAGGATATATCTATTTCTAGGCTTTCCAAACTGGCTAATGTAAGCCTAGAGCCATCTGTGCCATGTCCTCCATACCTTCCCCATAGGGAAGAAGGCTCTTGACAATGGGACAGAATGGACCAGAGAGAAGCAGAGTGGAAAAGGGAGAATCCTAAGGCTATCCTTTGAGCCCTTGGATCTATCCAAACCTGAAGCCAAATAATCCATTTACTTGGTGACTTATAAGCCAATGTATTCCCCTTGGGCTTATGCCAATTTGACTTGTTTCTCCTGTTTGCAATTGAAGGAGTCTTACATGACAGATAGGTGAAGTGAGTTGACAGTAAAATATTGGAGCTGGAAATCTAAAATCAGGTCTCACTGCTACCAAAGCTCACAGTTAAATACCATTTCCTACTTGTGGGAACAAAGGGGCAAATACTTGTGATTCAGAATGGAGGGGATGAGCAGATGGGAGAAGCTATGGACTTGCACCAAGTAGGGGAACAACAGTGGCCTTAACTCTAGAAAGCCTGACCTGAGACTGAGCTTTGAGGGAAACCACTCAGCTCCACCCACTTGGAGAAGTTGCCTCACCTCAGACCCCTAACCCTTGCAAGAGTCAAGAAACAGGACAACAGGACAATGGCGTATTTATTTACAATTGGACCAAAAAAAGGCATACAGGCATTTTTAATTAAAAATAATGATGATGATGATTTAAAAAGTCAGAAAAATTGATGATGTTTAAATCCTTTATGAGGAGTACATTTCCCTACTCCCCCCCAAAAGAGAATCTCTTAGGGGAAAAAAAATCCAAGATTTGAATAAACAAGACTCCATTATCATTCTCTACTGCTTGAGTTCCCTTTTCTTCAACCTGATTCTTGGTGGCTGCCACTTGGCACTGTGGAGTCACTGTGAGGCAAGGTTGAGAAGTTCACTGGTTTGATTGGTGGAGCTGGTAGGGGCCGTTATGAGAATAACCTGGGAGGGGGAAGGGGGTAGTGTGTTCCTAGCTTAACCAGCATCCTGAGCTTTGTCTTGTGGTGGGAGTCCCAAAGGGGCTGGAGCAAGGGTGAGTGGCTGTTACTTAAGCCCTAATCCCAGGGTGGGTTTGGTCTCTTGCAATTTAAGAGAAAGTGACATGCAGAGAGTGGGTGGGCAGTGAGGGTGGAGGGAAGACTTGGCCCCAAGAGTGGGTGTTGATAAAAGAGCCAGACCTGCCATGTTAGTTACCTCTAACTTGGGGTAACTGGCTCCTTGCCTATCCCTGGGAATTGGGGAAGAAATGACAGAACTTACCTTCCATTTCCTTTTCACCAGCAGTTTTCTGGGTGTCCCTCAAAGGAGGCAAGAACTCAAATGGGAGGGGGAGGGGAATGGGTTTGGCTAAAAGAGCTGTGCATGGGCGCTAAGGCTGGGGGATGTCAGGGAGGGAATGCCTCTCCCCAGCCATCTAAAGGAAGAGAACTGAAGTCTCCAGGCCTTGTTCTGCTCGAAGTGGGGGAAGAGAGACCCCACCAGCAGCACAGTTTGCAAAGAACAGCAACCCCCTGAGGAAGGGACTGGGGAGAAATCCTAAAGGGTGAAGACCCTCAGCCCAGGCACAGACATGTGGATATACTTGGATTGGCTTTGGAAATACCTGGCCCTGGATCCAGGATTTTGTGGCACAGAAATAGTTCGCTGCAAGTCTCTTCTCTGCTCCAGCAAATTTCCACTGCTCCCTAGTACTTCTGGGGATTTCCTTGTAGCAACCAAGACTGGACTTGCTCCTGGTGACAAGACGGCCCCGAGGCCTGGCTAGAAGCCCTGCCTTGGGCAGCCCCAGGAGAAGGCTGGAGAGGTGAGAAGAGGGAGGGAAAGTGGCTGGTAGAGGCAGGTTGGCACTGAGGATGCATGTCCGGGCTAGAGCTGTGCTTGTCACGGCATCAATGGTGAGGATGGACGGTGAGAGGCTTGGAAACCTCACTGAAGTCCCAGAAGGTCTGGTGTTTCCTTTTCCAGTTAGTCGTGGGGTGGCCAACAGCCCTGAGGAACTGAGGTGGAGACAGTGACCAAAACCCAGTGTCTCGGTGGATTTATCCATGCTGGATCCATTGTTAAAAAAACAAAAAACAAAAAACAAGGAAAAAACCCCTAACCAAAAATAAACCTGAACAGGTCCCAGAGTTTCTGCTGAAGGGAACTTTCTTAGTACTGAAGAAAAAACGACCCACAAAAACGTCATCCCCACAGAATTGGAATAAGATGATGGAGAAAAATGCAAGATTTATCTACAGGTCCTCCCGCCCCCCACGCAGCCCTGGGATCCAGGAACACTGTGCCAGGAGTTACATTCCAAACAAGCAGGAGTTACTTTATTTTGCGTGCCTGCAGTTCCCCACGCAGGGTGGCTTCCTGTCCATGGACGGAGTGGGCATGGCTATGGTCCACCCCCATCAGTCTATCTTCACAGCAGCGTAGATCTTGCGGACAAACATGTAGGCTGCATAGAAGCCGATGGTGCCCGTGAGGAGCCAGAAGGACAGGACCATGAGGGCCGTGTAGCCAAAGTAGAGGAGAGAGGGGATGAACTCGACGATGTCCAGCTGGGGCATGAGCAGGGGAGAAAAGAGAGGGGTGGACACTTAGTGCCAGCCTGCCATAGCCAACTGCCCCCCTCCCCATGATTTCATGGCAAAGCCTGGCAGGAAAAGGGGCTTGCTCCAGAGGGGCAGCAAGGGGCAGACAGGGCCCACAGCCACAGTGAGCCTTCTTCCATACTAGGGCCCGTGCATTGCCTTGGATTCTCACAACCACCATGGTAGGTTATTAGCTCATGTTACAGGTGGGGCACCGAGGGGTTAAACAATACCCACATTTACACAGCCAGGAAGTAGAAGGAACTGGGATTTGAACCTGGGGCTAGAGTGCTAGGAGTCAAAGGCCCAACTCTATCGACCCAAGCCATTTCTGGCTGTGGTAAGAGGGGCTAGGTGTCTCCCAGGGAAAGGCCTAGGAGCTCACTGGAAGACAGGTGTGACTTAGGGGCGAGGACCAGATGCAGTACGAATAGATACAGCCCTGTCACTTCTTTACCCTCCACAGTCCCCAGAACAGCACGGCGAGACTCCTGAATGGCCGGAGTAGCAGACAGGGAATGGGGGAGGAGAGGCGTTTCAGAGTCCCAGCTTAAGGACCAGAGAGCCACCATATGCCTGCCCCAGCCTACAGTCCTCTCTTTCTCAGAACGCTCCTGTCACTTTTTTCAAAAAAAAAATTTTTTTTTATTGATTTCAGAGAAGAGAGGGAGAGATAGAAACATCAATGATGAGAGAGAATCATCCATCGGCTGCCTCCTGCACAACCCCTGGGGATCGAGCTCGAAACCTGGGCATATGCCCTTGACCAGAATTGAACCTGGGACTCTTCAGTCCGCAGGCTGACGCTCTATCCACTGAGCCAAACCACCTAGGGCTACTGTCACTTTTTAACACCTCACAGGGATTTTGGACTCCTCTGTAGAGTTCTGAGGCTTGGGCAGGGAGGCCAAGGATCTGTGTTGTACTGGTATGTACCGTGGTCGGCAAACTGCGGGTCGCGAGCCACATGCGGCTCTTTGGCCCCTTGAGTGTGGCTCTTCCTAAGCCTTAGGAGTACCCTAATTAAGTTAATAACAATGTACCTACCTATATAGTTTAAGTTTAAAAAATTTGGCTCTCAAAAGAAATTTCAATCGTTGTACTGTTGATATTTGGCTCTGTTGACTAATGAGTTTGCCGACTACTGTGCTAGGCCAAGTAGAGCTAATCTGGAACCTTGGTATCAAGATCTGCCCAGATACTAGGTAGGACCTGCGTGGGGCCTGCTCCAGGGCTCATGCACAGACACATGGTCCCAAAATGCCAGGAGCCCAGAAGAAAACAATAAAGTCACTGTTTTGTTTTTGTTTTTCTGTTTTTTAAAGATGTATTTATTGATTTTTTTTTTTTAAGAGAAAGAGGAAGGGAGAGGGAGAGAGAAAGAGAAAGACTGGTGTGAGAGAAACATCCATCAGAATTGAATGGATGACCTTTCAGTGCACGGGACAACACTCAAACAACTGAGCCACACCAGCCAGGGACTGTTTTTTAAAATTTTTTAATCATCTAAGGACATGTTTGGAGAGAGAGAAAGGAAGGGAGGGAGGAAGGGAGAGAGGGAGAGAGAGGGTGAGAGAGAGAGAAACATTAATCAGTTGCCTTCTATATGTGCCCCAACTGGGGATGGAATCGGCAACCCAGGTATGTGCCCTGACCGGGAGCTGAACTGGCAACCTTTCAGTGCTATGCTAAACCAACTGAGCCTCTCTGGCTGGGCATAAGGTCACTGTTTTGAGACCTTCCTGAGGTCAAACATTCTCAAACTGAAGGTGAAGGCCATGTTCTCAGGCTCTACCCCACACCTCTCCTTTTATAGCCTTTCTTGTGGCTGGAGAAAGGATGATGTGAGGTGGGGGCAGGGGACAGGGTAGCGGTAAATCCAGTGGTAAAACCAGGAAAAGGATGAGGCAAATAAGGCAGTACTGGAAGGGTCCTTTGAAATTCAGACAGGCCAAGGCCGTCATTTTACAGACAAGGAAGGCTCTGGGGATGGAGGAGGAGGTTTTTAGAACAGAGAAGAAAGAATGAGGCAGAGGAAGGCAGGAAAGGAGGACAGGAGACTATGATGTGACTCCAGGGGGCCTAGTAGGAGGCTATGATAGTTATGATTTGCTTGCCCAACACTGTCTCCTATCTTCCTTTTGCCCAGTGTTTTGGAGTACCCACTCCTCACTTTGTGGCCCTGTTGGGGCTGTCATTCCTAGTATAAAACCTAAGCTAATCAGAGTAAGCCATCCTATTGGACCTGAGGAACAATAAGGGATGGCATGTAACCTGGGCCAATAACAGTTTTCCCTTAGGGATTGATGATATGATGGTAGAAGACAGACGTTCTTTTAGCTCTAGGGGTGCAAAGCTGAAAAAAAGGAGCCCCTAGGGCTGCCAAGGATCAACTTTCCACTTTGTGGAAAGATCCTGCCAGCAGACTGAAGCCAAGCAAACACCATGTGCCCGAGCCAGGCGAGCCAGGCTCCCTTTCATTCGCCCACACTTTACCTACGTGGCTCACACAGTACAGACGATCCGAGATGCAGACGAAGCCGTGGCCCGTCCTGTCCTTATTGTGAAGGACTGAACCGTAGAGACAGGACCCCTGAGGTCCTAAATTTGGGTGCTAAAGGCTATTTCATCATCTTCTGTTTTTATATTTACTAACTCTTTTCATTAATCCTCTTTATCCTTTCATGTTCTTTTTTTCCCCTAGCTTCTTGAGGTGAATACTGTTATCATCAATGTCTGTTTTTCCTATAAAAAGCATTGGAAGGTGATATATTTCTTTTAAGTACCCCTTCGGCTATATGTCACAGGTTTTTCATGCAATAGTTTCATGGTTATATATTCTGAAAGCTTTCATCTTCCAAACATACAGAACATAGATTCTCTTTCCTAAAAAGATACATGTTCTAGAGCAGAGACAGTTCTATACTGGCATTGGTCCCACTGTTGATGGGAAAGTAAGATTCAGACACTTGAGTTTTTCCCAGCACCCTCTTCTCCACTATCCTGCCCTAAAAGGGCTAAGGGAACTTGTTAACAAAATAAGGGTGGTACCTTGTTAACAAAATAAAAGATGGCATAGACCAGGACGTAGAATGCAGATCCCCCGGAGACTAGGAAATTCCTCCACCACCAGCGGTAATCCTGAGGAGGAAACAGAAGGGTCAGAACTCTTCCCCAAGCTTCACAGTTGCCCAAGGAGCTAAAGACTCTGGGTAAGAACAGTAATATTTGGGGTGATGGGAATGTTTTATATCTTGACTGAAATGGTGGTTTCACAACTGTATGCATTTTCAAAGGCACATTAAAAAGGGTGAAGTTCCTTGTTAATAAAATATACCTTTATTTTAAAAAATCAACAACAACAAAAGAATAGTAATAACAACTAACATGTTGTGAGCAAATGCTCCCCATGTGCCAGGTACAATTCTAAGTGCTACCTGTGAATCAGCCCAGTTAAATCATTGTAGCGGCACTCTGAGTTGGGTGCTACTGCGACCCTTGTTACATTAGGAAAGCACGGAGAGGTTAAGCAACTGCAACCAGAGCTACTAATGGAAGGAGCCCACTGAATAAAGGGAGGCTCAGCGAGAGGAAGTGATATACCAGCCCGAGACCTCATGGCCAGAAGGGGGAACATGGGAAACCCAGACAGCCTCATTGACCCATTCAATGTTGGACCCAGGTTCCCCACCCCCAACTCCTGGCCCCATGCCCCTTACCTCTGCACACAGCTGAAAGTACACCATGACAATGCTGATTTGTGAGCAGGATACCACCAGGATGATGAAGACGAGGAATAGGAAGCCAAAGAGGTAATAGAACTGATTCTCCCAGATTGCCTGCGGACACATCACAGCCGACCTTCAACTAGCCTGCTTCCACCCAGTGGCCCTTTCCCCTGGCTTACCCTGCCTGCTCTCAGGACACTAGCCCTCAGGTAGGACTGGCATACCACTTGTCACCAGGGCAGGAATGGAGATATCATCACAATGCCACCGGGGCCTATGTGCCTGGCACATGGCTCTCACTGGCCCTCCTCCCTGGAGCAGAGGGTGAGCCAGCCTATTCTTAGGGAGTGGCTGGGGCATGGCTGACCCTATGATGGGTGGGCTCTACCCTGAACACTGCAGCTTGTAGAAAGCTGCATCACACCCTTGTCAAAAGTATATAGCAGCCCAGCCGGCATGGCTCAGTGGTTGAGTGTCGACCTATAAACCAGGAGGTCAGCGTTCGATTCCTGGTCAGGGCACATGCCCGGGTTGCGGGCTCAATCCCCAGTGTGGGGCATGCAGAAGGCAGCAATCAATGATTCTTTCTCATCATTGATGTTTCTGTCTCTCTCTCCCTCTCCCTTCCTCTCTGAAATCATTAAAAAAATATTTTTAAAAAAATTACATAGCAGCCACCACCACTCAGGGGGAGCTTACCACATGGCAGGCAAGCTACATGCTTCATGGACATCTCCACATATGTACCTATGAAAGTGTGGACTTTTACAGTTAAAGAAGTCAAGGCTCAGTGAGGCTGGTGATTGGCCCAGGGTCACACAAAGAGAATTGAGGTGGCTGCGCTGGCAGGGAACCCATTCTCTGACCCTTTTCCTAGGTAGGGCTGGGTGAGCAAGGGGATCTCAGCGGGGAGGGGCTGGGCCACTCCAGAGCAGCGAATACTTGTCCAGCACAGACTGGGTGCAAGGCACCCTCTGTGATGGGCACCAAGTTAGGTGAGAGAGATTTCAATGGCTGTGAAGAGATCTACTGCCAATTTTCATTGCACGCCTGGGACAAGAGCAATCGTCATCACAGCCACAGCTACAATTTAACAAGCGTTTCTGACTGTCAAGCACCCTGCCTTTTACAGACATCATATTCCAGCCTCACAATGACCCTGAAAACAGGCCTCATTCCCTCCATTTTCCTGAGTCTTTTGAGTAACTTAGGTAAATCTGCACAGGAACCCAGAAATCAAAGCAGATGCAACAATATTAAAAATAGTGATGACTGACTGCAGTATTACTGAAGCAGTGTCTATTCATTGAACCCTCCCACACTAGACCCTGCACACATGCTGTATCTCATTTGACCTTCCAAGCCATCCTAAGAGGAAGGACTGTTATTCTGTTGGGTGAAAAATGGGGGCTCCAAGAGGTTAAATGGCCCATCTGAAATTTCAGAGGCAGTAAGAGGCAGAGCACCTCAGTGAAGGGGAAGGGACCATGCTAGCGGCGATGAAGGCTATGTGGTGTGGAGGGAAGGGGAGCAGACAGCACTACTCACACTGAAGATGAAGAAAAGTTCGATGAACATGGCACCAAAGGGCAGGATCCCAGCCATGAGAATGCTGCAGCAGAACAGGAGGGTTACCATTGGGAGGAGACCCAGCCACTGGAAGCCCAGGCTCCCTCCCTAGCTAGCCTGACTGAGAAAGCTTGCACGGTGTGGTGGTTCTAATTCTTTCAGCATGCTTCTGTACCATTATAGCCTCTTGAGAGGTAAGCCGGTGGGCATCATTCTCTCTGTTTTATAGATGGGGAAACTGAAGTACAGAGAGGCAGGCTGACTTGCTTAAGGTCCAAGCAATGGCTTTAACCTGTGTCACCGCACCTTTCCACCCCTCCCCAACCTGGTTCCTAGGCCAACACCAAATCTGGTTATAACTCGGTCCTCTTTATCTTAGAGCAAGACTAAGCTTTCATGAAGTCTACTAGGCCCAGCTGAGCTGCAAAACACCAGTCACAGCATCCTTGGGGGGACGCACCTTCTTCCATGTTCTCCTAAGAAGAGCAGTGTTAACCTTACCATTCCTGAAGGCCCCTGCTGGAGACTCACCCCACAAATCGGTTCATGTACCACCGCTGTTCAGGGATCTGCCGGGGAATCTGGTTGGTGCGCACAGGGTTGTCATATGGCTGCTTTCTGAAGCCGAAGTAGTAGCCCAGGTAGACGAGGGGCAGGGAGATCCCGAACCACATGCACAGCAGGGCCACCATAGTGGGGAAGGGCACCTGAGGACACAGCACCATGAGGCCCCTGATGCCCAGGCTGGAGACTGTGCAAAGGGAAGGGGACCTTCTGGGGTCTCAGGGAAGGAGGGTGTGTACAGCAGGGCCACCATCATGGGGAAGGTCCTACAGACACATCCCCACAGGGCTCCTGGCCAGAACCTTCTGAAGCGGACCCCAGCCCTGGGGAAAAGTGGAGTGCACATGGTAAACCACCTGGGCTATGAAGACAGAACCACAGCATCCCAGAGCTCGTCATCCAGAGAGGAAGTGCGGAAAGAACAGGGACCGAGGAAACTGAGGGCATGAAGGGAAGATGAAGAGGCCAGAATGAAGGGACATTATGTGTTTGGTATGTTAAGTGAAGAAAAAAAAGGGGGAGGGACACACTGCACAAATAATAGTGTGTTCCCTATTTTGTCAAAATAAAACCCTGCAATATACTACCAACTAAATGAAGCAGGTTATAAAACTTTATGTCTAGCACCCCATTTTAATAAAAATACCCAATATTTATATGTGTAAGTGCCTAGAAAGACCTATACCAGTGGTTGGCAAACTCATTAGTCAACAGAGCCAAATACCAACAGTACAACGATTGAAATTTCTTTTGAGAGCCAAATTTTTTAAACCTAAACTATATAGGTAGGTACATTGTTATTAACTTAATTAGGGTACTCCTAAGCTGGCCTTTGCTAAAAACGTCCTCAATCTGATTGAGGTACGTTCGCTGAGGTCGACCCCTTCCAACTCTCCCATCCACACTCGTCTTGTATACTTGTTTCAGATAGACGAGTGTAGATGGGAGAGTTGGAAGGGGTCGACCTCAGCGAACGTACCTCAAAACAATGTACCTCCCCCGAGCTGCGTATCCCACGGCCCACAGCCCGCCTGCGCCACATCTCCCGTCGCTCGACCGACAGACACCCCCACTTCTTCTAACACCACTTCTTCAAAATAGACTCGCGCAGGCCGAAAACCGACTTCTGCGCATGGGCCACGAAGTTTCAATCACACTGTACGTGCACGCCCACACATGGTATTTTGTGGAAGAGCCACACTCAAGGGGCCAAAGAGCCGCATGTGGCTCGCGAGCCGCAGTTTGCCGACCACTGACCTATACCAAAAAGTTGTTAGTACTTTCTTGGTTGGGGTATGGAGGATGAAAACGAATTTTTCACTTTCTTCTTTAACCTCTTCTCTAAAGTACTATGTTTTGATAAGAATCATGCAAAAAGAGCCCTGGCTGTTGGGGCTCAGTTGGTTGGGTGTTGTCCCATGCACCAAAAGGTTGCCGGTTCAATTCCCGGTCAGGGCACATAAAATATCTTTTAGTGATTTTTAGAGAGAGAAGAATGGAGAGGGAGAGAAAGAAAGAGAGAGAGAGAGAGACATCCGTGAGAACGAAGCATCAATCGGCTGCCTCCAGCACACCCTCGACCTGGGATCAACCGTGCAACCTGGATATGTGCCCTGACCGGGAATTGAACCGGCAACCTTTTGGTGCATGGGACAACACCCAACCAACTGAGCCCCAACAGCCAGGGCTCTTTTTGCATGATTCTTATCAAAACATAGTACTTTAGAGAAGAGGTTAAAGAAGAAAGTGAAAAATTCGTTTTCATCCTCCATACCCCAACCAAGAAAGTACTAACAACTTTTTGGTATAGGTCAGTGGTCGGCAAACTGCGGCTCGCGAGCCACATGCGGCTCTTTGGCCCCTTGAGTGTGGCTCTTCCACAAAATACCATGTGTGGGCGTGCACGTACAGTGTGATTGAAACTTCGTGGCCCATGCGCAGAAGTCGGTTTTCGGCCTGCGCGAGTCTATTTTGAAGAAGTGGTGTTAGAAGAAGTGGGGGTGTCTGTCGGTCGAGCGACGGGAGATGTGGCGCAGGCGGGCTGTGGGCCGTGGGATACGCAGCTCGGGGGAGGTACATTGTTTTGAGGTACGTTCGCTGAGGTCGACCCCTTCCAACTCTCCCATCCACACTCGTCTTGTATACTTGTTTCAGATAGACGAGTGTAGATGGGAGAGTTGGAAGGGGTCGACCTCAGCGAACGTACCTCAAAACAATGTACCTCCCCCGAGCTGCGTATCCCACGGCCCACAGCCCGCCTGCGCCACATCTCCCGTCGCTCGACCGACAGACACCCCCACTTCTTCTAACACCACTTCTTCAAAATAGACTCGCGCAGGCCGAAAACCGACTTCTGCGCATGGGCCACGAAGTTTCAATCACACTGTACGTGCACGCCCACACATGGTATTTTGTGGAAGAGCCACACTCAAGGGGCCAAAGAGCCGCATGTGGCTCGCGAGCCGCAGTTTGCCGACCACTGACCTATACCAAAAAGTTGTTAGTACTTTCTTGGTTGGGGTATGGAGGATGAAAACGAATTTTTCACTTTCTTCTTTAACCTCTTCTCTAAAGTACTATGTTTTGATAAGAATCATGCAAAAAGAGCCCTGGCTGTTGGGGCTCAGTTGGTTGGGTGTTGTCCCATGCACCAAAAGGTTGCCGGTTCAATTCCCGGTCAGGGCACATATCCAGGTTGCACGGTTGATCCCAGGTCGAGGGTGTGCTGGAGGCAGCCGATTGATGCTTCGTTCTCACGGATGTCTCTCTCTCTCTCTCTTTCTTTCTCTCCCTCTCCATTCTTCTCTCTCTAAAAATCACTAAAAGATATTTTTAAAAAATCAATTTAAAGAAAAAAAAAAGAATCATGCAAAAAGAAATTAATTAATAAAACCACGCCAGGGTACAGTGTCGCTGTCTGGAAGGAAGAGGGGCCAGGTTGGGGAGCTTCATCTAGAGAGCTCCCAGCTGTCCCAGTGGGGCCCCCAGACTACAGGTTCTCAGTCCCTCCATGTCCTCGAGGACTCAACTCAAGAATCATTCCCCCCAAAAGCACTTCCTGATTCCCAGACTAGGCAGGACTCATGTTCAAGTACTTAAAACAGAACTTATTCCAAAGTAAGCATCTTATAAATGTTTGCTATTATTATTTTATAATTTTTAAATTACATTCTTCGATTTTAAATAAATCTAAAAAGAGGGAAAAGACGGAAAAAAAATATAGTAAAGATCTACATAGTATTTATCTCTGGGTGGTTGGATTCTGGGTTATTTCTGACTTCTTTAACTTCCCTGTACTTTCCAAATTTTCTACAATTGAGTGTTTGTAATGAGCAGTTGGTTATTGGGAGAAAATGTTGAAAGAGAGAATGAACACAGGTATAAAAAAGAGGAAGTGAGAGGAAGAGCACCACTGTTCTTCCTGGGTGCTTCCTGGGCTGCTGGAAAGAAACCAGTGCTCCGGCAGCCTGGACTGGAAGCCTCACCCAAGGTCCGTTAGTGAGCACCTGCAGGTGGAGGGGAGGTGGCTCTACCTGCTGTGGCTGAGAGTGCAAATGCCTGCCTACCTCTACCACAGTCCTGCTAATTAATCAAGACCCCATCTTCCAACCCTCAACTGAGTTCACAATCCTACTCAATGAGTCCTGGGCAGCTGCTAGAAACAAGGGGGGCTGGCAGGACCCCCCTCTGAGGATAGAACAACCTGCAGGGGCTGGTACCGAGGAGCAGGCACTCTTGAAGAGCCTTGTTTTGAGACACTGACCTAATAAACTCACACCAAGCAGCCTTCCCTTGGTTGGAACAAAGGGGAATTCCCCAGTTGGCCCCTGGACTATGGACACCTCCCTATAGAGAAGTAAGTTTTGGCCAGCTGTCTGAAAAAGCCCACAGGAAGGCCAGGGCCCAGGCAAGAACATGGGCAGGGCTGGGGAAACCCCAGCTAGCCCTCAGCCCCTAGAGCTGGAAACAGAACTTTGTGAAGACTCAGAAAGGGAAGGGAACAGCAGGAAGTGACCTACAGGAGTAGAGCTGAGCACAGCTGCCCAACCCCCCCTTGCTGGGAGGGCACTTACCGCTCCTGACGAGTGCTTTCCCCAGATGAAGCAATTCAATACGAAACAAATGCCGAAAACCACGCCAGGGTACAGTGTCGCTGTCTGGAAGCAAGAGGGGTCAGGTTGGGGAGCTTCATCTAGAGAGCTCCCAGCTGTCCCAGTGGGGCCCCCAGACTTCAGGTTCTCAGCCCCTCCATGTCCTCTAGGACTCAAGAATCATTCCCCCCAGAAAGCACTTCCTGATTCCCAGACTAGGCAGGACTCATGTTCTTTATCCTCTTAGATTCCTGAACAGCCCCTTCCTTGTCCTCATACCAGTTTGTAATTCCATATTGTTGTAACCTAATCAGTGTCTGCCTACACCGTAGACTGAGGAGGAGTGTGCCCTCCTGTTCACTGATGCAATCCTAGCACTTAGAACACAGCAGCTGCTCAATAAACATTTGTTGAATAAAGACTGAATAGCCCTGGCTCGTTTGGCTCAGTAGATAGTGTTGGTTTGCAGACTGAAGGATCCCAAGTTCGATCCCAGTCAAGGGCACATGCCAGGGTAGCAGGCTTGATCCCCAGTGGGGGGCATGCAGGAGGCAGTCGATCAATGATTCGCTCTCATCAATGATGTTTCTCCCCCCCCCCCAACACCAATTCCTCTTCCTCTCTGAAATCAATAAAAAAATATTGTTAAAAATAAATGAATAAAACTTTTACAAAATGTATATGTCTAGTCCAGCCAGTGTGGTTCAGTGGTTGAGCGCTGACCTATGGACCAGGAGGTCATAGTTTCAGGCTCGATCCCCGGTAGGGGGCGTGCAGGAGGCAGTCAATCGATGTTTCTCTTTCTCCCTTCCCCTCTCTCTAAAAAAAGAACCATGCAAAAAGAAATTAATATATGTCAAGTATTTAAAACAGAACTTATTCCAAAGTAAGCATTTTATAAATGTTTGCTATTATTTTATAATTTTTTAATTATATTCTTTGATTTTAAATAAATCTAAAAAGAGGAAAAAGACTGAAAAAATACATAGTAAAAATCTACATAGTATTTATCTCTGGGTGGTTGGATTCTGGGTTATTTCTGACTTCTTTAACTTCCCTGTACTTTCCAAATTTTCTACAATGGGTGTTTGTAATGAGCAGTTGGTTATTGGGAGAAAAATGTTGAGAGAATGAACACAGGTATAAAAAAGAGGAAGAGCACCACTGTTTTTCCTGGGCAGCTTCCTGGGCTACTGGAAAGAAACCAGTGCACCCCCTCCTGCCCCCCCGGCTTTCTGTGTGATTTCAGAATGCTGGGATTAAAGGCTTCTGAGTTTGACACCAAGGCTCTTCCTGGCCCCCTGAAGGCCTCATTTGCTCTGGAAGAAGGGGCTCAGGGCTCCCTGGGAGATAGAGCTGACTCCTAGGCATCCTTCAATTTCCATGTCCTGGTGGAGGACAGAGAAGGCAGGAGCTTTCCTCACTGAAGGGGAACAAAGGACCAAAGTCTGGAAAACAGACTGATGGTGACAAGGGGCCTGGCTGCTTCTGCCCCTTTGCACCAGTGGGCAGGGTGTATACTACTCCCCGCAGCCCTGACCAGTGTTTGCCCTTAAACTTTTACACTTAGGCTTGATGGCTAAATTCAGTTATTCTGAATCCTCTATTTCTTCTCTTGCTTGAGACATCAGACTACTAAGTAGGCTAAAAATCACCTAAATTCAATCCCCTCATTTTATATGGCAACTAAGGCCCTAGGTTCTGCTGCATCTGTGGGTACGAGCCCAGAATTCCTGACCCTCAGGATATACTCTTCCTGCTCCATCATGCTGCTGCTTCCCAGGGCCTGCTGACACTGCTCCTGAGGAAACCAGGGTGAGACTGCTCAGCTCCCCACCAACACCAGGAGGAGGTTGAGGACACTTACACAGAAGGCTCCTTTCTTCCACCGATGGCCTTTTAGAGTGCGGTACAGACGGCCGGCGGAAAATCCACCGAAAACTCTGTGGGAAACAGCAGGGATCCACACCAAGGGACCTGTTAGTTGGAGCACAGCTGGCGTGTGCCAGCCCTCGGAGCCCGCTCAGACACACCTACCCCATGAACATGAAGAGGAAGCAGGCAGTGGTCATGAGAGCTCCCCGGCTGGAGGGTGACAGCATCCCAAGCATGGCCACAACTATGGAGGGAGTGGACGGAGGAGAGAGAAAGTCAGTGACTGATCGATCGCCAGGCCCCCATCCCCCATCCCAGGCTGGCTGACAAGGACTTGGGCAGATGGAGCAAAATAAGTATACTCCCTTCCGCTTTATAGGAGAAAACTGGGTCTTAGCTGGGGTTCAGAGGGCTGCAGCTTTTAGCCCACGGGGTACTTGCAACCATCCAGGCATTGAGCTGAGAGCATTATGAATGCTAGCCACTACATCCGCCTTATCAACCCTGTGAGGTGGAGGTTAGTTTCCCAATTTCTTAGATGGGGAAACTGAGGCTCACAGAAGTTAAGATCACAAAGCCTGTCCACAGTCACAAAGCTTGTAGTTGAGATACAAATTTAGGCAGATTAGTTGCCAAGAGCTTAGATCTTAAAAGTTCTCATCACAAGAAAAAAAGGAACTATGAGAGATGATATTGAATATTAACTAAACTTATTGTGGCGATCATTTCACAACATATACACATATCAAATCATTATGCCGTACATCTTAAACTACAATGTTTTATGTCAATTAAAAGATGGATAGCCCTGGCCAGTGTGGCTCAGTTGGTTGGGTGTCATCCTGTGCACAAAAAGGTTGCCAGTTTGATTTCCGGTCAGGGCACATTCTGGGTTTTTGGGCTCAATCCCCGGTAGGGGACGTGTAGGAGGCAGCCAATTGATGTTTCACTCTGACATGGATGTTTCTCTTTTTCTCTCTCTCCCTCTCCATTCCTCTCTCTAAAAGAAAAAAAAAGTTGGATAAAATCTTAAAAAAAATTTTAGGCAGATTGATTTCAGAACTGTCTATAACTACTATATATTAGTTTTTGGGGGGTTATTTTTGAGGGGGGAAAAAAAAGATCTGATTCCAGCCCTCATTTTGGTGCTGACTTGATAAATCACTTCACGCCTGACTGCAAAAGGAAGCCAACCTCACAACACTGATGTGTGGCTTCACTGACATAGTGGACGTGGTGGGCTATCAACAGTGCTGCAAAGCTCTGATGAGGATCAAATTACCAGGGCCTGGGGTTGAGAGGACCTAGCCTTTCTGCTGGGATGGACAGCTCCATCTGGCCCAGAGATGCTGACACACCTTTTTCTCCAGGGAGAAAAGCCTACCCTTCTCTCAGACTCAGCCCATGCTGCTCTGGTGACAGCCTCCCACACCAGGCCCACTCACAGATGACGATGAGGATCATACAGAAGAGCTGAATGCCTGAGCCCAACAGGGAGCTGAGGATCATGGGGTACTGGGGTGGCCTGAAGACGTCACCGTGCACCAACTTCCACCCAGACTCTTCCATGGTGTCTTCCTACAGCAAAGGGCCAGAAAGTGAGGCTGCGTCTTTGGCTCTGGTATAGGTAGCTCCTGTAGGGCTCACCCCCAAGGACCCACTCTGACTAGGGATGAGGGTCCCTCAGGTGTCAATCAGCTCCGCTCTGACACAGGAGTGTTAAGTGACACGATACAATGCTTCCCAGAGAAATGTCACAGGGTACGAGGACACAAACATGAAGCCTACAGCTACATAAATCTCCCTAAGTTCCACAAACCTTATGCATGGAAAAATAATGTAATCATCAACATACAAAAATGTTAACTGTGATAATTTTTGGGTGGTGAGATTTAGAAGCAATTAATTTTTTAATGATTATAAAAATAATATGTGCTCTGACTTGTATAATAAAAATGTAAAAAAATTTTTGGTGTATGGCATGATAATCAAATGATCAAAAAGCCCTGGCTGGCTTGGCTCAATGGTTAGAGCCAAAGAGTTGAGGGTTTGATTCTGGTCAAGGGCATGAACCTGGGTTGCAGGTTCGATCCCTGGCCCAAGTCAGGGAGCAGGAGGCAACCAATCAACGCGTCTCTCTCACATCGGTGTTTTTCTCTCGCCTGCCTCTCCTCCCATTTCCACGCTCTCTGAAAATCAATGGAGAAAATATCCGAAGACTAAAAAAAAAAAAAGCAATGTGTACTATAGAAAATTTTTTAAAAATCTAGAAAAACTGAACAAAATATATAAAACTCATACTCATAGACTTAAAAAGATACAGAAAATAAAATGATTTATACATTTAATGATACCACTGTTTTGATATATTTCCTTTAATCCTTTATGTATTTGTGTATATGCATATATAATTTGAAATTGGGATCATAGTTATATTTACTGTGTACTTGCTATTTTCAGTTGATGTTTGTGAACATTTCCTCATGCCAATAAATGTTCTTAGAAGTATTATTTTAATGTCTGTATACTTTTTCATTGTACAGCTATACCATAATATAACCAATCCATCATTATGGAACAGTAGGCAATGTCCAGTTTATTTAAATTATAAATAAAGCTGCAATAAATATTTCTAGATTAGGTCTTTGTATTTCTGATGCTTTCTTTAGGAAAATTCTAAAAGATCTACTGGATCAAAACAAGTCAACTATTTTATAGTATTATATGTTCTGTATTATATATTCTTCCAATTAATTACTTTTCAGAAAACTACCAATTTACATTGGCATGGGTGGCACAAGAAGGTGCTTATCTCACATTAACCTTGCCAAAAATTAGTTCTACGGAAACAAAAATATGTGCTATTTTGAAGGACCTAAACTGTTTCTCATGACTGTTTGAATCTGCAGTTTTGGGGGGTATCTCTCAGGTGAAAGCAGTTTTTCACATGTTTATTAGCTATGTACAGTTCCTTATCTGTAAATTCTTTGTTCATTATCACATTAAAGATTTTAGATTTTTTAAAAGAGATTTTATACCAGTTTTTTAACTGTATCATCTTTTTTTGGTATAAAAAATTTTAATGTCAAATTCATCAAGTTTTCTCCCCTGTGACTTCTTCCATTGCTTTTATGCTTAGAAATCAGAAAGTCTATTCCCATCATTTTGGGTCATTAAACATTTTTTTTGCTTTTCACTATTTTTAAGGCTTACTCTATAAATGATACACACACATACACACACACACACCCCTTTGGGTCTGGCAGGCTACTCTGCCCTCCCTCTCCAACTCCATCCCTCCCCAGCCAAGACCTCGTACAATGTCATCCTCTTTGTTATAGTTGGCAATGTCCTTCCGGAGGGTCCGAATGATAATCATGCTCAGGATGCCTGAAACAAACAGGAGAGGAAGTTGTCAGCATTGTCAACCAAGTCTTCTGTGTTGCATGCCTTCCTGAGATTGGTGTTTCACTGAGGGATGATTGGCATGTGTGAGCTTCCTCTAGTGAGAAGTGGCTATGCAGCTGCCTCAGGTCCTCTTTTGGGTATAGGTCCACCCCAGGTATTCGGGCAGGAGTGAACGGAGGGCCACCCCCCAGACAAGGGAATGAAAGAGCTGCTGGGATAGGTATGAGGACAATGGCACCCCAGCTACTCCATGGCCTGGTCCTACCAGCTTCTCCAGTCTCACCTCCTCCCAGGCTCCCCTCTTCTCACTCACCCCTGGTTCTATTTTTTCTTTTTTAAATCCTCATCTGAGGATATTTTTTCCATTGATTTTTAGAGAGTAGAAGGGAGGGGGGAGGTGGGAGAAAGAAAGAAAGATCAATCTGAGAGACACACATCAAATGGTTGCCTCCCGCTCCCCAACTGGGACTGGGGATTAAACCTGCAACCCAGGTACATGAACTTGACTGGGAATTGAACTCACAACCCTTTGGTCCATGGGCCAATGGTCTAAACACTGAGCAAACCCATTCAGGGCTTGCCCCTGGTTCTTTGCTGCTTTTATTATCACTTCACAGCTGCATTGCTCTCTCACCTCCATACCTTTATGCAGTCTATCCTATACCCTGAATATCCCATTCTTCCCAGATTAACTCCTACTCACGCTAGTATAGTGGTTAAGAGAATAGGTTGTATGACCTAGAGCTAACTTAACTCACAGGACTTCGAGGACTGAGATGCTTATAAGCACAGCAGATGGGCCCTGGGTTATATTAAACAGTAGCTATAGCAATATTTTTACTTCTCATATGATATTAAAATGATCAGTTTCATTTCACCTTTGCCCACCACTCTGCCCCCTGCTTACTACCCTCTTGCCATCTGGTTTCTTGCCAGGCTTGTCCCATTGCAGGGCAGTGACCCCTGCTTGACCAGCCTTTCCCTAGTTCTTCCAATGGTGACTCCTCATTCAGAGAGGTATTCTCTAAAGTAGCCTTCACCTTTTCCTTACAGCTGTGTACATGATCACCTTGTTTATCTGCTTCATGTCACTGATCACTTTCTTTGCTTTTTTGTCTCTTCCACCACCAGAATATAGACTCTGGGTTGGGTTTGCTCACCACCATATCCCCAGCACGTGGCACAGCACCTGCACAGAATGTGCAACACAGTCTTACTGACTGAATGTATGCATGAGATGTATCCGTCCCCCCTAGGAGCTCTCCAGAGTAGAGATCAGATCCTGTTCACCTTGTGTACCTGATGCCTAGCACGGAGCCCTGAGGCCCATTTTTGATCCATGTTTGGCCCCAAGAACACCCCAGAAGTCCCCCTTAAGTGATGTGATGCCTCAGCCCCTTATCCCTCACCTCCTTGTCCTCTCAACCCTCTGACCTACAGATCTCTCACCTGATAGGAAGAAGACCACAACAACGGAGTTAATGATAGAAAACCAGTGGATCTGCACATCACTCATGGTCAGATAAGTATCCCAGCGAGAGGCCCATTTGATGTCACTTTCCTGGTGGGGGGAGTAAGCACTTAAGAGTCAAGCCTCCTGCTAAACAACTGCCCAGACCAGAACCCTCCTCCCCTGTTGCAGGCTTCAGCCCCTTCTCACCTCCCAGTGTACCGAGTAGGTGAAGTACAGCTTATTTTCCTTGGTGGGATCAATTTCTTGGGGCGAGGATTTGGCACCCTCAGGCAGAGTGCATGAACTCTTCTCATCTACCTTGAGGTCTGTGAGAAATAGAGACTCAGTCTGTTTCTGTGGGGGGCCGTTGCTACTACCCAAGGGCTGTCTGGGGGGTGCCTTCAGAAGCTGCCTGAGGGGATGGCATGCTGCTGGGACCCAGGTCTGAGTGGAGGCTGGGAGAACAGTTCTCACCTTCCAAAGGGCCTTAGGTGTGTGTGGGGAGGGGTCTAAGCCCCTCATTTAATCAACCTTCCTTCACGCAATTCAAACATTCATTTACTCATTCAATCAGTCCCATTCACATGCAAAACAATATGGGCTCAGTCTATCATATGTTTACTCATTCACTTAGTCCTCAAAGTTCTGGTACTTTAGTTATCCACTCAGATGCCTCTTTCATTCATCCTGTTATCCATCCATTTAATCAACCAAAAAACATATCACAGGGACCTAGTATATCTCAGCTATTGTGCTGGAGATAAAATGATGAGAAAAGGAGACAGGTCTCTAACCTCTAACAGCCAATGGGGGACAGATGATGTCAAAATAATCAGATATAAATGTCCAGCTGTGCTCAAGACACTCACAAAGGAGAAGCAGTATGGTGTTCGGAAAGTACAGAATGTTTTATTTGAGGCTTCTGTGTATGATTTTGTTTGAAAACTAGGTTCCACAGCTTAAAAATAAAACAAATTAACAACTCCCCACCCCCCTGAAACCCCCAACCATTGTGGACAAAAGGCCAGGCCTCCTAAATTAAAGAGTGCCCTGTGCTTATTAATAAGCAAGGTGAGACTGGACCAGGTCTGTTGAGCTTGGGCCAATTTTAGTCTAGACCACTTACTCACACAGAAGTCAAGAAATACAGAAACTGGTTGCCCGAGAGCTGTCTGTACACTGCCCCTTTCCCTTCAACCCAGAGGGACCTGGCTGGTTCTTATGAGAGGCCCAGGTAAGCCACAAGTTGCTGTTTGATCTTGGCCAAGCCACCAACCTCTCGGAGCTTCTGCCTCCTCATATATAATCAAATATATCTGGGGGTTGCCAGAGGTGGTAAACCTGTAAGGTGCAAGGCCAGGACACAACAGATGTCCGCTCTCCCCTTGTCCCCTACCTTCTCTAATGGGAATGCAGTGACCCTACCGTGGCTGGGCCCATATGCTACATTGGGGCCTTTTAGCTATTTCAGGAATCAAGTGTGAGAAAACCCAGGAGTAAAAGCCTAGGCCCATCCACCAGCCCTGCCCCTCTGGTCACACCTCCCCACTCACCCTCCAGCCTGATGCTCTGGGGAATCACCTCGAAGCGGACGACACGGTATGTGTGCTCCTGGTCCTCTTCCAAGTCCTCTCGGTGGTAGTAAAGGATGAAGGAGAGGTGATTGTGCAGGTAGATCTAAAACAGACCAACAGAGAAAACAAAGTAACTAATAGCCAAGGAACAACCAGAAAATCACTCTGGGGGACCACCCTAGGAATAAGGTCACTCCCCTTGTCCAACAGACCAGCTATCCCAACCTTCCCAAAACACTGCTCTCAGAGCTCTCCTATGCTCAGAAACCCTCCAGGGCTCCCTAGGGTTTACCAGACAAAAGCCCATCGCTAAGCCTGGCATTCAAGGCCTTCCATTATCTGACTGTCACCATCTTCTAAGACACATTAGTTCACCTTGTCTCTCCAAACTCCTCCTTGCCCCATGAACAGTCTCCACTCTGCAGCTCTGTTCATGTCATTCACTCCAATCAGAATGCTGCCCCTGACTCCACTGAGCTCAAGCCTGCCTGTTTTTTAAGGACCACCTCCTCAGTGACAATCTCAATGCAAACCGAGCTCCCTCTGAACGGCTTTGGCATTAACCGTCATGGCAGTGGCACATGGTCAGAAAGGAATGGGCCTTAAGATTCAGGGTCTTACAACTGTCAGTCTTTTCCCAATTAGGTTAAAAGCCCTTTGAGGACAGGGACTGTACCTCAAAAGAAATGTTTTTGTCCTCAGAATTCTTTTTGGAAACTGAGGTTTTTAGGGACTGTGCCTTTCACCTCCTGGGTAGCATCTGCAAGAGCCTTGCCCAAGAGCGCCTAGAGGAATCTGCCTCTGCCAGTCCCAGAGCTAAATATTTCCTCGTGACTTTGGTTGTGGCTTCTCCAGCCCTCTGAGCATACCAAGACACTCTACCTTGTTCATTTCCACGAAGCCAAGCCGGTAGCCGTGTTCAAACTGCACATCTTTTTCCTTCTTCTTGTCATCGCCGTCGCGGTTGGAGTAGAGCTCCAGCCGGGTGGCCACAGGCAGGTTGTCGGCAATGCTGGAAACCCAAGGGCCCCGCTCAGTCCCTCTGAACCGCCTCTCCCATCAGTGCCCTCCCCAATGTGAACTCGAGGCTGGCAGGAGCAGAGGACGACTTACAGGTGGACATAGTAGTCCTCCGTGATCCGCTCCGCCACGAGCCGGCTCTCTTTCACAGACAGGGTCACTGGTTTGTTGGACTCACTGCACAGAACCTCACACTTCTTTTCGCTATTCATGAGAACCTGGAAAGGGGTGTTGACAATCCGGTCCCCTCTCAGCACCTCTCCTGCCGTAAGAGAGACAGATGGAGCTCAGAGCTTCAACCCTGAGGCTGCTGAGGTCAGCAGAGCCACGAAGACCCAGGACTGACTTGCAGGGCTGTCATCAGTTCTGCAGCCTGGCACTCCATGCTCTTCCCGACCTATTCAGGCTCAGCTTGCCCCTTCACTCCTACCCATTGCCCTCTCCTCCCCCTTTGTGCTCTAGCACCAGCAGACGTTTCAGAGCTCATCAAACATGCCATTTTATTCCACACCTCTGGGCCTCAGGTCGTTTCCTTAGCCTCGAAGGGCTATTGCCTGCCCCAGGTTTTTGAGAAACTCCTCCTCACACTTCCAGCTCAGCTTCTATTTCACCCTTGGAAAGCCCTTCCTGACCTCTTCACTCCCTCCTCTGATTTCCCTCTGCACTGAGGCAGCATCATACAGTGGTGAGGAGAGGGCTGCCTGCTACTGAACGCTGGCTCTGCCTCTTACTCACTTAGCAGTTTTGGCCAGTCATTTAACCTCAGAGCCTCACTTTCCTCATTTATAAAATGAGGATAATAACAGCACCTACTGCACAGGGTTACAGTGAGAAATTAAGTACCAGTCAGAGTAGGCAGGCAACAAATACTATTTTCATCATCAGAATCACCTCTGCACCTTTTATGTCAATGATGTGACTTTGCACAGTGTTGACATATTATGTTTCTGACTCCCTTGACTATGAGTTCTTCAAAGGCAGATAGTGTTTCCTATTTATCTGTGTCTTCATATCCTGATTCAGGCTGGGAGGGAAGTGGGATAAAATCCAGCACCTGAAATTTTTAGCCAAAACATCTTTATACTTAATGAACTGGCATGCCCCTTGCATGCCTGCCTTAGAGTAACCTGCTACCAGATGTCATGCAGCAGGCACCAAGCAGTTAGGGATTGACAACTAAACTCAATGGTGCTTTCGTTTTGAGTCGATCTAACAATAACAATGCTACTGTGATGATGTGAAACTGGGACAAGCCAAAGGAACTGACCAAACCAACAGGCAGGACTAACCCCTGAACACACACTTGGTCTAGCATTTGCCCACCAGTGTGGACCTATATGATGTGACACTCTCTGCCTAGTCATTTATTCGCTCATTCATTCATTCCCAAAACATGTACCGGGTACTGGCTATCTCCTAGGCCCTAAAGATACAATGTTGAACAGACATACACATGAAGCTTATGGTCTAATGGGAAGGCAGACTTTGATTACATGAGAATATATTATTCAACAAGAGGAACTTGCTCTAGACAAGTGATGCTTGAAATGAGCTATAAAGGAAGAGAGAAGCGTTAACTAGCAAACAGATAGGGGAAGAATGTTCTAGACAGAAGGAACAGTATGTGCAAAGGTCCCTTGAGAGTGGGGGAAACACGGTAAAACTGAGAGGCCTGTGCAGTTTTGATGCAGAGAGCAACTTGAGGTGAGCTGGAGAGATGGGGCTGGAGCTGGATCTCAGGGGGTGTGGGCTACACTGGAAGTTTCAACTTTACCCAGAAGGCAAAAAAAGCCAGTGAAAGGTTTCTATGAATAGGGATAGAGGAAGACTTCATCTGATTCTGTTACAGAAAGATCACTCGGTATGATGGTGGTCTGTCATGCAAGTGAGCAACGATGGCTGGACGAGAGGGTGTGATGAGGATGGAAACAAGTATACAAGATTCAGGAGCTACTAAGGAGGTGAAATCTAGGGGCCTGGTCCTGACTGATACAAGAGATGAGTGAAGAGGGGTGCCTATTAGGAAGACTGAAGTTTCTATAACCAGGTTCTAGGTGGGAAGACAGTAAGCATCGCAAATTTAGACTAAGGGCATTTTTTCAGCTTGTTAGTTTGACTTGATATATCTGGATATAGTCAGATATCCAGACATAAGAATCAGAGGAGAGATCAGGACTGATGGAAGCTGTGAGTTGTTGGTACACAAATGACAGGGCCACAAGCTGAGAGAGGAACAGGGTTGTAGTCCAAGTAAGGTGGGTATCACTTCTTGATAATTAGAAATTAAATTTAAACCAAGAAAGAGGACATACTGGTCTGGAATGGCTCATTTGTATTCCTTTTAACTTTTTAAAGCAGGGAGCAGGTAGTCAACCAGGCTAAACGAGCAACACACCATGAATGTCGCTCCTCTAAGAGAGTCTGAGGTTGTACTCCAGTACATCTGCCACACACACACCATGAGCTGAATCTCTACCAGTATGAGAATCGTGAGCACAGCTCTCAGACAGCCCCATTGAGCCTTTCTGGAGAAGGCAGCCTGGGACAACAGAAAGAATCTGGCCATAGAGTTTAAAAACTTGGGCTAATATCTCCATTTCTCTACCTACTGACCATATGACACAGAAAATCTTTCAAACCCTAGAAGCTGCTGTTCCCTCTCCTATGAAATAGGGCAATCATATTTGGCTTTGCAGAGTTACTATAGGAATCAACTAAGATAATGTGCAGAGTAAAGTGCTTAAGGATATGGCCAGAGTTCCTGCATTCTGCCGCTTACTAGGTGAGTGACCTGGGGCAAGAGACTTCATCTCCTTGTGCCTCACTCCCCTTGATAAGAGGATATAAGAATAGCTGCCTCATAGGGCTGTTGTGAGAATTAACAAGTTAATGCACAGAAGTGCTTAGAGGAGTGCCCAGCTCATAGGAAAAGCCCTGTAAGTATTAACAGTGATGATGATGATAATGTAGAGTACAGGGCTTACAATCCAACAAAATCAAGGATGTTTTTGCTCCACTCAGTAGGACATTTACTGAATGTCTACTGTGTGTTAGGCACTGGGTCAGAAGTGGTGCAGAGGGGAATGTAAGACATGATCCCTCTGCTCAAAAAGCCCCTAGGCCAGTGGTCGGCTAACTGCGGCCCCTTGAGTGTGGCTCTTCCACAAAATACCACGTGTGGGCTCGCACATACAGTGTGACTGAAACTTCGTGGCCACACTGAAGGGGCCAAAGAGCTGCATGTGGCTCACGAGCCGCGGTTTGCCGCCCACGGCCCTAGGCCATGAAGGAAAGCACTACACAAAGGCAGGGTGCCTTCATTATGGCAGGATAACTTTTGTACACAGAAGTTTCTATTTTTAGGAGGCAGGACCATTCCCCAGCTTCAAGGGTCCACATTAAATTAAGATCACCCAGTATCACTCAGAAGTGTGCCCAACTGCAGAGCCTTCAATCTTTCCACATTTTCATCTCCAGGCCTTAACACTGAGACAGGCACAGAAATAAGTACTAATAGTTGGGTCCTGAATAGATGCCTCCAAATGTCTTTTCCTTTAAGCCTGAAATTCTGCCAAATAGAGATAATTATTTGAATTAGAATAAAACGGCTGCTATTTATGGAACATTTGTGCCAGACATTGCCCTGGTGCCTCACACATTACTTGAGGTGAGTCTTGCACAGCATAACAAGAACTATAGTGATGTCTCTGCTTCCTTTAGGGCCAGAAGTGATCACTTTCTTTTAATTAAAAGTAGAGCAGATTACAGAAGCCCCGAAAGAGAGAGAGAAAAAAAAGAGGGAGGAAGGAAGGGAGGGGGAGAGGGAGAGAGAGAGGGGGAGAGAGAGAGAGAGAAAGGTATGATATTTAGAAATCAAGGGAGAACCAATCTGAACAGTAGCCGAGGGCTCCAAGTCTGAAGCCTGACTGCATGATTCCAAGCCTAGCTTACCTGCTGATTAACAGTATAACCAGAGGCAAGTCACTTCACTTATAAAAGGGGAATAAAAATAACAGCTACCGCCTAGAGCTGTTATGAAGATTAACTAAGCTAATATGTATGTAAACAAGGTAGACCGTGTCCAGGACACAGTAAGTGCTACATAAGGGTTAACTGCTATTATCATTATGAAAAGATCTAGGTTCCCATTGGGACAGGCTGACAGCAGTGAGAGAGAAGAACTTACCCAGATTCTCTGCCTTGTAGGTTATTTTTAAGGGCTGACAGAAGGGCAGTGAGTAGTACTCATAAGGTAACTGGGTTCGAGAGCTTGTGAGCTTCACAGCCTAGTGGGAGAAGAGAGGTCATTATTCCTTAATTCAGACTGTTTCAATAATCCTCCCTGGTAGCCACCATCTTTGGCATACTCGACAGTATTATCTAGAAGGCAAACAAACTGTTACAATGTTCTATATACTCTACTGCCCACAATTCTGAATTATTTCATATTTCATTAAGTTTACTAGATTATATTACAGACTTTGTTTAAAATCACAAATTCAATATTGATATCCTCTGACCCTGGAATTTCACTTCTGGGCATCTTTCCTAAGGAAATAACTCCAAATGACGATAAATCTTCAGGAACAAAGAGGTTTTACTCCTTATTCATAACCATAGTGGTCTCTGCTTCCAGTTTCTTGATCCCATTAAGCTGCTTGTAATTGATGCCCCAAATGAGCATGATGTGTAGCAATTTGAAATGTTGATAATACCTAAAATGTGGTGGCAAACTAAGGGACATGTACGTGAGAGCAAGTCATGTGGACAGCCCTTTGTGACTTTCTTATCTTCTGCTTCTCCTTTTGAACAATGGGATGCTCAGGACATAATAAAAATGTCATTTTCACACAATCTCACTGCTTGCTTTTGCTCAGAGCAGTAAAGATATGGTTCATATCAACATGGCAACGAAGCAAGAAATATACATTTATTTTAGAAGCAGAATTTATTGTAACTTTGTAAGTCCTGCTAGTTCTGTTTTATAGGATCATTAAGAATCTGAAGGATGACTCAGAAATTTCAAATGCACATTATTTTGTCTATGGGGGACTGATGGAGGTGTGAGAATGCTGAGTATTCTATACTGTAAACACTGCACAGAAAAAAAAGACTAAGAAAAACAGACCAAAGTATTAAGAATGTTTATTTGGGTGATGATAGCAGGGAGTCTGGTTGGGGGGCGGGGGGGGGCTTGTACAAGGTTACACCCATTCCCTGGTAGCAGTCTGTATCCAATGACTGGCCCATTGAGGGGTTTGGAGAGCTGGTTCTCTTGCCTAAATTTGGAACAACATAGAAGGACCAGCCATTCCAGTTCCAGTGCTTCCCACATGCCTCAGTTGTACCATAGCTCAACGTTCCCTCTGCCCAGCCCACTTCCCTCACTCCCACCAAATGCTGATCCTGAGAGTCTCCCCAGTACATCTCCTGCACCAAATCTCCACCTTACAGTTTGTTTCCTAGGAAACCAGATCCAAGAAGATCCACCACCAACCCTCAGCCCTGCTTGGGGCTCTGAGAATGCCACCAAGAGTCCACTGTTTTAGAGACATAATCAAGGTGTCAACCTGCCCACTGCCCTTGGTCAACCATTTTTTAAGTGACTCCCTTCCACTCTCCACCCTACCACAGTTGACTGACACTCAGATCGGCATCCAGCCTGAAAATGTGAGGTAGCCCAGTTGGAAAGCCTCTCTCTGGATCCTGACTTAGGGCAATACTTCTCAAATCCTAATTGTTCACATACCAACTTGCCCTATCTACTTACCTCTTATTCTACTATTGCATCTGACTCATTTTTCAGTAAATACATTTAAGAAGCAAACATTATATATCAGTATTAAAAACAGAAAATCAACGACAGCCATGAAACCATGAGTTGAAATACTAGCTATGTTTTCTAATATATGTTAAAAGAAAAATTATTAAAATATATTTGTCAACCACTTAAAATCATCTCGTATACCACCACTCAGACATGCAGTACACGTTTTGGAGATACTGAACTGGAGAAGCCAGCTAGTGGCAGAAGCTAACATTGAAAAAACAGAGGTAACAATAGGCTGTGTATGTACAGACGATATAAGTTAGGCAGGAAAAGCTGGTAAGAGAGGAGATGGAGCAGATAAAAGAGGAAGGGAGAGATGTCATAGAAGAGGCAGATTGAGAGAGACAGACACAGGGAAAAATGGAGGGTGGAGAGAGGGAGAGAGAGAGAGAGAGAGAGAGAGAGAGAGGCAGAGTTCCTAACTGGCACTGGTTTTTTGTTTTTTTTAAAAAAATATATTTTATTGATTTTTTACAGAGAGGAAGGGAGAGGGATAGAGAGTTAGAAACATCAATGAGAGAGAAACATCGACCAGCTGCCTCCTGCACACTCCCTACTAGGGATGTGCCCGCAACCAAGGTACATGCCCTTGACCGGAATCGAACATGGGACCTTTCAGTCCGCTGGCCGACACTCTATCCACTGAGCCAAACCGGCCAGGGCCTGGCACTGGTCTTTGTTCTCTGCAACTACAGGAGGGATAAGACGAGCTCACCATGGTCTTCAACCACACTGCCCAGCAGAGAGACTCCAATGGTCTAGGAACACACTTACCTTGATTTCTACAGGGTCGTTCTGGTGGAAGTTGATTGGCGCGACCCCAGGGACATAGAAGGCTCTTGTTCCACACATGAAGGAGAGAAGCAGCAGGGACCATGGCAACCAAACCTGCTTGGAAAAAGAGAGGCCTAGATTGGAATGAGGGAAAGAAGTGAACATCTCTCTGGGGCAGACCAAGTCATAGCAGGTTTATGTCAACTTTAACTGACCCAGTCCCGTCCCTGCTCTGGGAAGCCTGAGGTGCTACCTCTTACATGCCCCCAGGAGTACTACGAGGAATCAATTTTGCACTTCCAAAAACGAGCAATAAAATAAATGAAGTAATAATTAACATGGGCAAAAGGGAAGACTAATACAGGAGCTACATTTCCCTACTTCTGGATCAATATTCTTTTTAAAAAATATGTTTTTAATTTATTTTAGAGAGGGAGGAAGGGAGAAAGGGAGAGAGAGAGAAACATAGATGTGAAAGAAAAGCACTGATTGGCTGGCTCCCATTTGTACCTTGACCTGGATGGAACTCGTAATCTGGGCACGTGCCCTAACTGGGAATTGAACTGGTGACATTTCGGTGCACAGGATGACATCCAACCAACTGAGCCACACCGGCCAGGGCTGGATCAATGTTCTTTTAACCATTTGATATTATATCACTCTCCTGTAGAGCTAGCAGGGAATAAAGCTCCAGTGTTCCATTAATTCCTATTTCTCTATATAGTAACAGGCTCACTTTGTCAGGACGCTCCTCCGATACCAACATATTTTCCTATAAGCCTTCTTCAAAGTTGTACTGACCTCATCACCTCCCACTCTCCTCCTTCTCAGCTCTAGCTACACTGGCCTTCTTGTCTCCTGACAGCAAGCCCTTCTCCACACCTCAGGGCATCACCTTTACTGTTCCCTCTGACAGAATGCCCTTCCCACAGATATCTGCATGGCTCGTCTCATTCCTATTTCCAGTGCCTGGCACAAAGTAGGCACTCAGTAAATAATCTGCATGCAGGATAGTCATCTGGGAATCAAAGGCAAGAAAGATCAATTACTGGTCTCGGTCTCAAGAAATTCATCCCATCAAAGCATGGCTTTCCCTTCACTAATACCATCCTTTTCTCCCTTAAGGAACTAGAGCTTCATGATACTCTCTCTGCATGGTCTGAACAAGGAACTCTTGTCATCTATACCTCGATCACCAACTCAATATTTCTTTTTATTTATTTTTCTTGGTGTCTGTAACCAAATTTATCCCTGAGGGCCCAGCAAAGGGGATCAGGGCCCATGAGTCACAGTGTTTCTATGGCAGCCTTTTGGGCCAGTGTCTGCCATGGATGGGGCAGGCACCGAATTTGACATGGCTGCAGGCCAACTCAATCTTGGTTTTGCATTTGCCTTCTCTCTCCACCCCTTTAATGCAGCAGCATTTCAGACCTTCATTTCAGACATTGGCCACAGCCTCCTGATCACCTTGCCTTGGCAGCTGCTCCACCCCTTCAAGTTACGCTCCCCTCCCCCATGCTGGTTATTCTTTCTGAAACTTAGGAATCAGAATCACTCAGAAGACTTGCCAAACATTTAGGCTGGCCTGCATTTTCACCAGGAGCACAATGGTAGAAAAAATGGCTTTAAAAGTTTAAGTTTTGCCCTGGCTGGTTTGGTTGAGTGGATAGAGTGTTTGCCTGCGGATTGAAGGATTCTGGGTTTGGTTCTGGTCAAGGGCACATGCCCGGGTTGCCAACTCGATCCCCAGTGGGAAGAGTGTGGGAGGCAGCCCATCGGTGATTCTCTCTCATCGTTGATGTTTCTATCTCTTTCTCCCTCTCCCCTCTACTCTGAAATAAACAAAAATATGTTTTAAAAATGTTTAAGGTTTTGAGCTCAGTATACTTTTTTACAGATACACAGGTTGATCAAAGTCTTAAAAACAATATATTCACAGAATGTTTTCCCCAGGATTTGTTTTGAACATTTATAAGTATCTGCCAGTTAGTGTTCACTATAAAATATGAAATAATAGTTTGATCCCCAAAACCACAGTGAAAAATGGATAAAAGAGTTGCATCGTATTTGGCAATTAGAAAGTCTGTGGAATTAGGGATGAGAGGAGGAAAATCTTTAAAGGAAACGGCAAAACTAGAAGGTAGAAAATTGCCTAACAGGGCAGGATTCTGTATAGAAAGACAGTACTCCCCACCCCCATCCCTCCCTCCCTCCCTTTCTTTCATCTTTCTAAATTAATTTAAATTTCCTCTAATGTTAACATTTGACATAATCATGGGTGAATAAGCTTTTAAAAAATAACTACTTTTTAAAAAGTTTTGAAAAAGTAAAACATATAGTAAATAATTAAAACATTACAATGGGTATACCATGAAAAAGAAATTTTCCTCTCACTTCAGCTCCCCAAAGACAACTGCTCTCACCAGTTCCTTGAAAATCCCTCTACAGCTATCCTCTATATATATATATAGATCATACAGATCACACACACACACACACACACATATATATTTATATGACTGATTTCAGAGAGAAAGAGGGAGAGAGAGAGAGAGAGAGAAACATCAATGATGAGAGAGAATCATTGATTGGCTGCCTCCTGCACGCCCCACATTGCAGATCTAGCCTGCAACCTGGGTACGTGTCCTGACCAGGAATGGAACTGTGACCTCCTGGTTCATAGGTTGATGCTTTGATGCTCAACCACTGAGTCACGCTGGCCTGGTCCTCTACAGATATTCTATGCATGCACAGAGTGAAGAGTTTAGTAGTATGAGTTTGCCTTGAATGCAACAACAAACAGAGTTTTATTCTCTCTTTCTGTGATGACTGTGCGCTGGCTACAGCATCTGATTTCCTCTCGATCAGAGACTTCCTCCATTTGAACAGTTATCGGAAGATTTGGTCCCATCTCTCTGGAACCCTTTACTAGGCCTCACTGGTCAGTCCTTAAAATTTGAGTGCTTAGTGTGAGAGAAATAAACCCTGTCCTTTTTTTCCTATAATTCCTTTGTGCTTGAATTCCAGTTCATTAAAATGCAAGGAAGATAAATCCTGGGTTACTAACATAAACTGTCATCCAAAAGTTGTTTAAAAATAAAAAGAACCCTGAATTTTATTAAAAAGATGCAGAAAACAGACAATCATCACACAAAGATACCATTGATAAACCTCAAATCAATTTACTTAGAAGACCAACAGATGAAAAATGGCAAATCTTATCTAATAAAGAGGGAATATGCAAATCGACCGTCACCCCACCACATATATGGTGTGCTCACAGTGGAGGGAGGGGGGGTTCCATAACACAAGATGGCTGCACCCACAGCGGAGGCAGAGTTCCCCTAACGAGCCTTAACAAGCAATCAGCAGGGACCTGAGACTGCACCCCCCCAACCCCCCCAATCCCTGTGGGGCTTGATGGGGGAACCTCAGGCTGCTCCTCCTGCCCGGCGGGGCTTGACGGGGGAACCTCAGGACGTGCCCCCCACCCCAGCACCAGGCCAGGGGACCTGAGGCTGCGCCCCCTGCCCAGCAGGGCTTGACAGGAGTGGGACCGGCCGGGTCTGGGTTTCGTGTGATTTTGAGACGCACGTGGGTGGGCGGGGACTTGACTCTGGGTCCCATGGTGCACCCTAGACTCTGACAGGAGGAAGATTTTAATATACATTTTACTAATTTTCTTACATCTCTGACACTTCTATTATAGAGAAAGGGCAAATAGCAATATTAAAATATTTCCTCTAATCCCCTTTTAATGTGCACCAATTTCATGCACCAGGTCACTAGTATTTCCATAATATGCTAGAATCTTTGCACCAAGATGACACTGTCATGTTAGACATTAAAATGTCACTGTTTTGATATTCCATATGCTGAAGGGATTATGAACAGGAACACTTCTAGGGGGCAGTTTGGCATTCTATCAAAAGCCCCACAAAAGTGCACTTTTCACGCTGAATTATGGTCACTTAAGTATCTACCATCTCTCCAGCTAATCGCTTGTCTAGCTTTGTTGACAGGGGTACTCAATAAATCCTTATCAAAAAAATTAATAAGCACCAACCAACTTCTGATCTATAAAAATATGAAACCATCCATTCACATAAAGGTTAAATAGTACGGCCCTTTTTAAAAATATATATATTTTATTGATTTTTTACAGAGAGGAAGGGAGAGGGATAGAGAGTTAGAAACATTGATGAGAACATCGGTCAGCTGCCTCCTGCACACCCCTGACTGGGGATGTGCCAGCAACCAAGGTACATGACCTTGACCAGAATCGACCCTGGGACCCTTCAGTCCGCAGGGACGCTCTATCCACCGAGCCAAACTGGTTAGAGCTAGTATGGTCCTTTTTAAAAAATATATATTTTTATTGATTTCAGGGAGGAAGGGAGAGGAAGAGAGAGATAGAAATATCAATGATGACAGAGAATCATTGATCTGCTGCCTCCTGCATGCCCCCTACTGGGGATCAAGCCTGGAACCTGGGCATATTCCCTTGACAGGAATAGAACCCAGGACCTTTCAGTCCACAAGCTGATGTGCTATCCACTGAGACAAACTAGTCAGGGCAATACTATGGTTCTTTTTGTTTCTTAAAGACTTTTAATTGATTTTTTTCAAAAGATTTTAAATTGATTCTTAGAGAGAGGAAGGGATAGAGAAAGAGAGAGATAGAAACACTGTTTTGCTTTAATTATATTTATTTGTGGATACTTTGTATTTGCATATTTTCTTTTACGGCTGTGATTTAGAGTTTTCTTTTTTTTTTAATTGATTTTTAGAGAGGAAGGGAGAGGGAGAGAGAGGAACATTGATGTGAGAGTGAAACACTGATTGGCTGTTTCCTGCATGCCCCCTACTGGGGATTGAGCCAGAACCCCGCATGTGCCCTGACCAGAAATCAAACTGGCAACCTTTTGGTTCAGGGGACGACATCCAACCGAACCACACCAGCCAGGGCTGAATACTATGACCCTCGAGAATTTTTTTTTTTAATTGTCAAATTTAAGTTCTTGACACTTCCCACTATTCCTCCTGTCTAAGGACCTGGCTTAAGAATCCCTGACGAGCCCTGGCCAGCATGGCTCAATGGTTGAGCATCGACC